TGAGACTGGAGGAACCCCAGAAAGCATGGCCCCCGGACTCTCTGTCAACCCAGAATTAAAACAATTCCTGAGGCCAACTCTTCAGACAAAGATTGGACTGGACTGTGGGACATAAAATGATACCTGTGAAGAGTGTGCTTCTTAGCTCAAGTAGATACATGAGACTAAATGGGCAGCTTCTGTCCGGAGGTGAGATGGGAAGGCAGGGAGGGTTAGGAGCTGGTTGAACGAACATGGGAAATCAGAGATGGAAAGGAGGACTGTGCTGTCACAGTAAAGGGAGAGCAATTAGGGTCACATAACAGTGTACTTATAAATTCTTGTATAAGAGACGAACTTGAATTGTAAACTTTCACTTAAACTACAACAACAACAACAAAAAAGATTTACAGCCTTGGAAACCCTGAGCGGCAGTTCTACTCTGTCCTACATGGTCGCTATGAGTCGGAATTGACTCAACAGCAGTGGGTTGTTTGGTTTTTGGTTTAAGACTCTAAACGGTAAAGTTTATGTTGAGGGTTCAAAGCAGAACAATACAAATGATTAACAATTTTTGGAGAACGTTAATTGGCTTGGCATGTTTACCTTGAAAAGGAAGAAATTAAGAAATGGATCTTTAAGTGCTCTTAAAATACCATAAACAGTAGTTGGTTTAAAAAAGGAAAGGAAAGGAAGAAAGAAAAGGTTTGCCTGTTTCACATCTGAATTTAAAGGCTTTTGGATTCGTTGGTATCCTCTCTTCCTTCTAATTTCTTTTCTTTTACGTTGTTTCTGACTCTATGCCCTGAGAGGAAAAAAAAAACCCGTTGCCATGGAGTCAGTTCTGACTCATACAACCCTATAGGGCAGAACAGAACTGCCCCACAGGGCTTCCAAGGAGCGGCTGGTGGATTTGAACTGCTGACCTTTTGGTTAGCAGCTGAACTCTTAACCACTGTTAAGGGCTCCGCCTTGAGAGGGGGCATCTCAAATAAAACCTGGGAAACAGATCTCATTTGCTTTCTTTTGCACAGGTACTAATCCAATTCTTCTGTTCCTGTTCTTAGAGTAAGATTACAGCCGCATCCTCTTCACCATCTGAGTCTAGGTTCAGCAGGTTTATGGCTCTGCACCTTTTATCCTCTCTGTCTGAGTTAGCAAATCAGTAAGCTTAGTTTTAGTTGGGGGAATATGTTGCTTTTTTCTTTATGACACTAGTCTTAGTTTTCTTAGATCTAATGGAAGAGTCTCAATTCTCTACTGAAAAGATCTGTTATATTTTCTAGAGACAAAAATTAATTCTCAAGACTACTAGGAGAAAACACTGACTACCATCTCCTATTTTTAATAACTATGTGCACAGAAAGCGCTTTGTGTGTGTGTGTGTGTGT